ATCCCTGTTCGCCTTCCTTGCCTTTCAACCACCTTTTCCCAAAATGCGCCCCCCCCCCACAAAAAACATCAAGAGATAACTGTATCAAGAGCCACCTAAATACGCCAATTGCCCTTTCTCGGGTCAACACAGGAAAGCGGAAAAAGCTGTAGCCGTCCGGCCGGGCTGTCCTCAGAACATTTGGCCCAGATGTCTGTTCGCGTTGTTATTTAGCGGCGACTGTGGCTAGGGCCACTTGAATACCTCCCGGCTGTTAACACTCGACGTTTTCCTCTAGTTAGATTGCAGCTCTCATCACTGCACTGGCCTCTAATCGCTTACAATTAGCGGACACCAACCCTATCCTTGCCGGCGCAGTATTGCCTCTGAACACGTCCGCACCCATTTTGCGCTGGTGTTTTAAACTAACGGGAGTCCACAGGAAATGCCTCCTGAAGGCACATATAAGTAACAGTCTCCGCCTCAACTAATAACACCTACACGCTCCCCGAATATTGGTCTTGCCTTGAGTGGCATTGTTGTCGAACGTGTGCTGTTCCCTTGTATAGAGTCAGGCAATTTAGCTGACTCTCTTCATTCTTGACTTTGCATATCCATTGTTGAGGTTTGTACATTCCTTATCCTTTACTATTTTGCTTAATAGTAGGGTACTGCCTTGATATTAGGGGTCGGTGTACGTGTGACTGCTGGATACAGAGTCAGAGAAGTCAGAAGACGAAACAAGCAGCAAAAACCAGTAATTTTCAGTACTACTAGAAGTGGAAAAATCAGGGTTTTAACTGTCCTATAATTTGGAAAAGACTTCTATCATTTTTCTTTACCTAGTCTCTTGTGGAAGACGAAGACGCTAGAATAAATCATATTATCTTCAGTTCAAAGACTTAGGATCCATACATAGGTAAAATTTTGGAAGTCCAGTAAGTATGGATCAATGGACACGTCTAACGAACTGGGAACCACGAGTTGTCCATTGAAACCATATATTCGACCCTCCCGGTGCGATAACCGTTCGCATTTTACGGACAAGGTAGTAAAGAACTCGCCGTACAGCCATCGATGGTAGGAAAATACGCAGATTTCAGGCAGACCCTACGTTGAAACTGTCACATTTACTAGAGACTTTTCAATTTATAAACATATTATCATATTATTAGTATGACGTAAAAAGCGAAAAGGTACTTCAAAAACATACTTCTTTCATGAACCAGACGTTTTCCGAGGGCCAATGGTATATGGACATTAACTGATTAGTGTGGCGTGAGGATGGCTGACTTGCAAGTTCAATGTAAGCAGTAACGTAGGAAAATGGACAAACTTCTTCGGTCAGCAGGGTGGACAGGGCAACCTTGATGCTTATCTGAGTCAGTGGGTCCGCCACTGTTGCGTTTGAATTCGTAAGTTCATCGTTCAGAGCAGCCAGTTGATTGGGTTCGTAAACTAACAAATCGAAATAATAAATACAAGTTTATTTTAATTAAAACTGACAACTGATGTGCACCATCCCTAATTTTATGCGATTGAAGATGAAAAAAGAGTTTAAAGTTGCATTGATTCTGTGAGCGTTAGTGGACTAAATATAAGCTTTATAGACACTTGTCTATCAAACCGCAGGAACGATAAAATGATCGTTTCTGTCTTACTGCCATCATATTCTTATCCCAGAACAGAAAGGTCCCAGCCCGAAAATTAGCACACAAAACCTCTCGGTTGTCATCGGGACAATTCAATTTCATGTAACAGTAGTGTATCAGGATTAATTAGAATTTCAGGAAGATGGTCGTTTCAGTTTCTCGTGGAGCAAGTACAGACGCCCACATAAGTGACGAGAAGTCAATAAGTCGACATAAGTACTTAAAGGACTAGGAAGGGTCAGAATGGCGAATCATAGAGGGTTCAGGTTGCAATAAAAAGCATTCAAAATCGAATTACCATCGGAACCTACCAAGCCAATCGGCACCTGTTTTTATATGACTTTTGGCAGGCGTACTATAGGCTCAGACAGCGCATAAAAATGTTTGTGAAGCAAACTCGGTTGTAAATTAAATTATATTATTAATATACTTTTTTCGAACACCAAAAAGTAGTACTGTAAGCAAAACGCGCATACTTCCGATAAGGACCAACACAAAGCTTACAAAAGAATAGAGTTATATACCACGATGCTTGACATCAGCAGCAATATCAGAATATGTGGATGAAAAGAAGTCGAGTAACTATGGAAACGTATCACCACTACCTCACTATCTAAACCCGTTTAGTGAACCTCTTTTTGGTGGCAGCGAAAATGATTGATAAACCTGGACGCTACATGCCGAATATAAAGCAGTAGTAAGGAGAAATGACGTTCAGTCGCAGCTCTTTGAAACATACACCTTCAGGTCCGGCTGTGTTGTAGAGATAGCAACTTGATGAATTGCGAGTCGCTACAACAAATTAAAAAATAACCCGCCTGCACAAAATTAGCGCTAAGACTGCCTCAATAGGTTAAGAGTCCGTATCGGGAGCACGAGCCGACAAATAGGCTGCTGTGGCACTGCTGTTAAATAAAAACGTCCCAGATATAAACATGCCACAGGACAAAACCAATGTCAAAATCGGGCAACCTAGCGCAAGCATCGCAATGAGTACACATGCAAGTGCTGACTTAAAACATGTGCAGATCCCGGTTATAGAATTCGTCCAAAGCAGATTAAATTTACAAAACAGTGACGAACAACATTCCATAAGCTTCACTGGGACAGGCAATGAAAAAAGAAAAACGACCGCATAACGGGCATCATAGGCGATTTAAATAGTTTATCAAAATGACGATAAACACTGCCTTGTGTATTAATCAGATGAGGCTGGACATAATTTACGTAAGAGGATAAAGCTAAAAGGAAAATAAATGCGCAGACGGTAGCAATTAATGCCATACAGCGTCAGCAGTTCGCAAGTTGGCATCCGGGAGACGAAAGTTTTCAAAAAAGAAAGATGAAAGACACCGAAGCTCAGTTATGTTAAACAAGCATCCTACCTCCCGGCAATGTCCACTGGCCTGGGAAAGACGCGTTCCCACAGAACACACCGTTATCGACGCCATACTTTGTGCCATCCATTGGAATGGCGCAGGCCTCCACCATCAACTCGTATTTCGTACAATTCTTCGACAGGTTGAGTTCACACGTGGCAGTATCTGATTCCCCAAACGTTAGGTTGCACTCTTTCGCTTTCGTTCCGTCCAACAAAGCAGTGGCCTTTGGTTGTGACAGCCGACACTTCCCAGTGTCTGGTTTCGTCCAATTAACCTGCA